CTACTTCAATTCGCTATATTCATTGTATCGAAGTGTAGATATGCGCTGGCATGATGCCGCCTTGAGGGAATCTGACGTCCAATCAACCGTGCGTGGTAGCTGATCTGCCCAACGTGGAAAGCAACGGGCGGAATGGATGTTTCATTTGGCGAGTTTCAGAAGTTTCTCCAACGTTTTCCTCGTTACTGGACCATTCGTTACCTTTGTCCTTCATCTCCAACAACGGCCAATTTATCGCATCATTTGCCTCCTAAAAAGCCATAAGATCTGCTCGGTACCTCGTAAAGAGCTCTTCATTTTTTCGAACATTAGAAGACCGGCAGATTAACTTCACCTGTTGCTCCTTCCTTCCATTTATATTCGAAAGTTGTCATTTTCAGGATCCTCCTTCTCCAAGTTCCATTTCTTAGTCTCGCCAGTGTCTTCGAAACAGTCCTCAATCTTTGTTTCGAATTGTACTTTGCATATCGATTTTGAAATTGACCGTCGGTCTCTCGGTCAAAAACACAAAACTCTGCCGTATCATTCAGAGCTCAAACTCTGCGCCACGATGCAGCTTGTAATATATAACACTATGTGGGTGAAAAGAAAGAGCAAGTTCTGCTCTCCCCAGAATTATCGCAGATTTCTCTATAATATAACGGAAACGGTATTTATCAGTAGAAGTTGGTTGTGCCATGCAAGGGCACGTGTGTTTTATAAGTAGACGCTTGACTTGTGCAGAGGGCCGGGCGGGAAAACTTATTTGACATTTACTAGATATTATACTTTCATAGCGATCAAATATTATCTTTTGTTATAATGCGATGATTGAAAGCGAGCAAATGAGCCATTGAGCAGCGGTAAGACTTTTCCAGCAAACCCGGATGACGAACCACGAATACCTCGTTTCAATCCTTTCGTCTTCTTACCAGCAACTTTTTGTGACATCATCGCCACTTCAATCTCCTATGTAGGATTAACCTTAACCTCAGCTAGCAGTTACCAGATGCTGCGAGGTGAGTTCACCTTCTACTCATTAAGAAAAAATCTACTAAAGAAAGATAAAAAAAAAGAAAGAAAAAGAAAAAAGAATCTTCTAGAGGATCATAAAGTGCTGCTTAAATAATCAGCAAGTATAAGTTCCTGCGAAAATTACGAAAAATTTGGCAGAATGTGAAAATAGCGAAACTAAGAAAGTCTAGCATGGGTCTAGGGTTCACACTTTCTGGAACGCTGCTTCCTCAATGCTCCTTTTTCACGAAGAAGGCAACGAAAATAGCTGTAGGATTTCAGCGCTTTCGAGGAAGGAAAGATGTTTCTCCAAAGAAACAAGCAATACGTTATCCAACATAAACCACGACACATCAAAAACCAGAAATAAACCAACTTGGATGTAGGTAACCCTGTCCTTAGGCGAAGTGCAAAAATTCCACTACCTCCCTAGGTTCGGTCAGACGGCCAGTTGACTCCGATTAGATGGAAGTACCAAGGGTCGAGGAACTGCTGGTGGCATGGAAACCAGCAAAATCTATGAATGAAAATAAAAATTTCGCGACTCAGTAATATTGTGCGAGAACTTCGGGTAAAAGATCTTGCTGGATGACGACTTACCAGCCTAAATGGATGAGAATACAGATTCTTTTGAGTAAAAATAGCTAATAGGCATAGGCACATGGCCAAACTACGAAAATGGGTTGCCCGTGACGTGGAAATTTTGAGAATGTTCTGCTCCCGCGCTGGCAACGAGCCCGGGACAGGTAATCGACTGCGGGGTAAACTTCGAGTATGTATGTAGACAAAGTTAATGTAGCGTTACATCGACGACATTAAGATTAAAAGTCTTCCTCTCATTCGTGAGAGCACCGAGCCTTCATCATCGCTCAACCGCAGTTTGATTGCTAGGTTTCTTTGAAGGCTGTTTTAGAGTTGGCAGCACTACGGCCCTACCTGCGCGCGACCTAAACATGTCTTCCTAAGGACCTTGCGTTTGAGAAGTCAAACTGAAACAAGGATCCAAATTCAAGTCACATTTTGTTCCTGACACTGAAGAAATGGAGGGGTGAATAGCCCTTTGGTGGCACTGCTAGACATTATTCCAGAACTTGCTTATGATATTACGTTTTATTTTCTTTTTGGCGCCACATCCTTGTAAGAGTACAGATGGACTAGAAGGGAAATGTCTAATGAATATGTTAAGTTGAAATTTGAGCGAAAAGACCTACGACCCGGAGCACTCGTGCCTTAATCTGTCAGATAAGATTGAAGGTTGTCATCAGCGCCTGAACACGCATCCTTGGTCCGCACAAATTTCGACCTGTCACTTCTCCTTGGCGTGAGTGGGTGGGCTTGAAAAGGACATCTAGTGAATGTTGTTCAACAATGTTTCCTAGCAAACTGTGCGCACTGAAATGAATTTTTAGATAGGTTGTAGGCAGCAAGGGATACGATGCTTCAAAAGCTTCTCTTTACATCATCGGTACAACTATTAGATCTGCTAGAGCAATTGCAGATCCAGATGATCAATTAAGTGAAAATAGAATTAAGCTTCTTTAGGAGCGCTGATCGTGTGTACTGGACTGCTATCCATTTTATGGCTTCGAGCACGTATCAAGGGATTTCAATGGTCTGGCATGCTCTTATGCGTACTCGGCGTTGGTCGTCATTGAAACGGATATCTTAACAGCGGGAAAGCCCGTGAAACAAAACAAATGTAGTTATAGTAGCACCAGTATCTAAAGAGAAAACACCGCTTTATAGCGCTACATCATAGTTTATGTATTATAGTATTACTCGGTTCCATAGCCCTTTTCCGCGTGTATATTATTGCGTTTTAGGTGATATCCTCTGCACCATCTCACAGGTTTTTGTTGCCATGCAACTTGTCAGTGAGCAAAAGTACATGCGCCAGTATGATGTGGACCCTCTGCTCGCAGTAGGCATCGAAGGTATGTGTCCTCTTTATTCGAGAAATGTTGATCAATTGTTACTGTTGGGATGTCTCAAAAGTTCTTACGAAATTCGAAATCGTTTTTGGACTCACTTTATTTTATCCGAAAGCACTATCTACCACCGGGCACGATCACTATCAGTGGTTTTCTTGCCAGTGAGCTACTTATAAGGCGCATAATGCGTTCGGGCTTGCTGCCAGCTTCGCAGAAAAGGCATTCAGGCCGAATTTGATCGAAGCGAAGGGGAGGGATCTTCGAGCATTGTATTTTTGTCTGCAAGTTGACTACCGAGCAAGAAGAATCAATTACATCCAAAGGCTACTCAGCGCAGGAGAATTGGATTGCATTATTGTTCTTCACAGAGTTCAGTCGGAACTCGTTTTAAGAAGGCCCTAATATTTGCAACCTCTCCCTTTGAGTTGGGATTCCATCAACACGGCGCATTCGGAGCCCATTTCAGAAAATTTACCGAATCTGCGCCATCGCAGTGAAGTCGATCAAAACCCCTTTGTTATAGCTGCTAATAACTTTATACGGAGTTTGCGAGTTTGCACTGGTCCTTCCAGTGTACCAAACGATTCTGCCTCGGAAACGCACCAGCCTTCTGTTGAATGACATGAAGAAAGGCGCGTTGGAGGCATGGGTCGTGATCAAAACCTCCACAAGTCCTCTCTGTGTATAGGCAGCGAGGCCAAGCGCAGGGTCGCGATACTGTCATGACACAGTGAAGAGAAGTGCGTCTCAAAAAAGCTATTGCCTTTCCTTGACCGCCGGGATTTTCGCTCGTTCGCAGCATTGCGTTTGGTCCTTATCGTACGGAATGGTCTTTCGCGTATTCCCTTTCCTCATAGCGTTGCCGTTCTTCGACCGCTCTGCCGCCGCCGCCATTCCACTAAGTACGAATTACTATGTTTTTCTGCTTTTCTCCTCACTCCTTTTAGCACCTCTTCGTTCAATTTCAAGCAAAACACACCAATCGACCGCTACCCATGCCTCTGAGTAACGCTCTTCGAACGAACACAGACTCCTCAGAATTTGAGGTTGCTAGAAGCTCATGTAGATTCAGGATGCGAGAAATTTAAGGCTCTCAGAAATCTTAGAGAGTTAACTAAAAATGTTGGCAAGTCTTCCGTCATTGAAAAAAAAAATTTAGAAACCCCAGCACCACTACGCAGTCTAATAAGCACTTATTTCCTTCAAATGCCACAGCTTTCATTTGCGACCTATTATGAAGCATTCCTGATGACCGATTCTTCCCTCATAAAATGTTTCACAATTACTTTGAATATTCACTTTTGAAAAAGCCGCCTCTCTGCCACTTTCGCCCAAATGCCGAGTTTTTGGATTGTAGGGACCTCTGTAGCTTATTCTCAATGGTTTCTCATTCTCAATGCGTGGTCTGGGTCGAAATTCTTTTTGAAGTCGAAAACAGAACGCACAGCAGGGCACAGTATTCGCAGCAACGTTCCGTCAGCTGTGATGTTACGTGAATATGGTCGGTAGTGGAAAAGCTTGATCGGAAACCGGCTCGTTCTGCAGTCGCGTACTCGTCGATGTAGCGGCGTATCCTCTTGAGAACAAGACGGGAAAAGACCTTTACACGTGGGAAAGGAGACCTATTAGGCGGAAATCTCGTTCAGCCCATTACGTCTTTCTTGGTGTATGAGGAGCGGGGTAGGAGGCCCCCATTGCATAGAACGACTGCTTCGCGCAGCAGGCTTTACAACAACACGTAGAAGAGTTTTCTACTATCTCTTCCGGAAAAACTCTTTGCTAGATACCTAGACACGTCAGCACTTATTACTAATCTTTGGTTAGCATTGTTCCTCAGGTATATTCATGCGGTGCGCGTGACTTAAAATTGATGTACACCCACGCCCTTTCATCCGTACAAACTTTTCTCAAGGAACCCTTGAGATTAACCATGGTATAATAACGAATAACAGCACGCCGTCAACGAGAAAGTGAACCCTTAAAGCGAGAGATTACGATAAAGTGCGTATGCAGCGTGGAAGTACATGCACCATTGGAAGCAGTAGTCAGGGGCCCAAGGAAACGAAATGTTGCGTTTTTGTGGTCAAAGGTGCGCTAGTTGCAGCGTACAAGGCTTGCCATTCCTTTCTGAGCCCCGCCACGGTCTGTGCTCCGCCCCCAGCAGCAGCGCCCTTCGATTGCCAATGTGACGAGATATTCCACTTCCAGAGTGTATCCTATAACTTTTCATGGGATGCGTGATCAATCAAAGCATGATGCTTGCTGAAATGATAGAGGCTATCAGCATAACATGTGCAAACGACCTCCTAATTGGTTGCTAGCTCGTCCATTATCGGAGGTCAACGGGCAAAGAAAGGGGTCCCATTTTGCGCCTTCTTGACGGATTTCTTTGCTTTTTTCGCCACTGGGGCATTATTCAGCATCTCCACTTCCACTATGAACCCAGTCCAATCTTATCGTAATCCCTCGCTTTAAGGAAGTTTCTTTTACAGCGTTCAAAATAGCTTATTTGTTTTCTGACTGCCTTCAACTACAAAAATGCCGTGAGAACTGCTCACAAAATGACATGAATGGTTTCAGGCATTTTTGGAATCATTATTCTTTGCATAGCTCTTGTTCCGATGTATTACATTCATGTTCCACCTACTTTTTCTTCGAATCCAGAATATCGTTTAGAGGTATGTGAAAAGTGTAAGCATTGGAATGGAACTAGCTCAGAAAGATCGTGAAAAATAAATGGGATCGCTTCGCGGTGAATGCTGCAGTCCCCTCATCTAGTATACCCTCTGATGGGGACCATTCCAATCATATCTGTATCTGCTGCACAAGTGGACCAGGAGCCACAGCTTATACTTCATTGTCGAGCATAAATAAATACATTGACAACATACGGGGCGGCCAGAAAAGAGAAACACTTCCCTCCCCATTTCAGGTAGCATTGACCCCACTTTCCTTAACTCAAACCGACTGCTTGACAGACATATGTACGAATGGATTTCATTCAATAACTGAGCCTATTTGAGCAATAATCTCTAGCAAAACTATTCTCCATCCATTTGGTTTCATCTGAATAGATTTCGGGTCCAGTAAAGCGAGAGCGTGCGAGTTCCTTATGGCACTCAAGGAGCTCGCGAAACACTCAGCTAATTCACACTCCTAATTCCCCTTAGGCATGGTGTCATCCGCAAAATCAGTAATGAAGTCTTTCACCTTCTATATCAATGCCGCACGCAACTACGCTTCAATTCATCTAGTATATTAATATCAATAAATCATATATGATAATATTGCATAATTATGTGACTATTTCACGCATTACCACTGCTATAACATAGGTCGTATAGCATACATTATACATAAAATTCACTACTCACTGCTTCAGAATATTAGGTCGCAACGAAAGTAATGGCGGATTCGACCCTCAATTTCAAAAACTCGTATCTTTCTTTGAATTGAACTTTATTCCTAATAATAATTCCCACAAGCACTTACACCAGTCCGCCATCGGTCGACAAGGAAACAAATGCCTCTCCTTCAAAATTCGGCAGGCTTCGAGTCGAAGAAGTGCCCATGTCCGCTTTCAACTATTGAAAGTTGTCGTAGTTTTTATCCTTTGAGAAGTGAGCCAGGGAAAGGAGTGGGTGGTAATCCGTAGGCGCAAGACCTGGCGAATATGGAGGATGGGGTAAAACCGCAGATCCAAGTTCCGCCAATGTGTCCTGGGTTACCCTTGCAACATGGGGTCACGCGTTGTCATGAAGAAGAAAAACTTCGTCCATCTCAGGGCGAAGTTTCGCGACTTCAACTGCGAGCCTTCGTGGTTGTGAGCAGTACACCTCGGCGTCGACGATGGTATTGTCTGGCATCTCGTAATGACGTGTTCCCCGAACTCTCCACCAAACTGACAGAGGAACTTTCTTGGGATGAACCTCCTGCTTTGGAACAGGCTCTGGCTTCTGGTTCGCACCCATTCACTGTCTTCTTCTGGTATGACATAGGTAGAGCCCCCACCTTTCATCTCCAGTAATTACATTATCCAACCAGTCGAAACGGCGACTCCTTGCAAGAAAACCTCCGCACACCCCGATACCTCTTTTCTTGCAATGCTCTGTCAGCTCATGAGGGATCAATCGACCAAGTTTCTCAACTTTTTCCAGCATGTGATGAACACGACCTGTGGCCATGTTGAAGCAGTGCATCTCCTTTGCCAGCTCCATGGCGCTTGCATGCGGAAAGTCTTGAAGTAACAGCTCCAAACGTTCGAAATTAACTTTCGTTGGGCGTCCATCTTCGAGGTTGTAGTTTCCTTCGCGGAGCCTTCTGAACCAAAGTTGGCAGGTTTTTTCACTTACCACTCCCCCTACTTCCACAGAGCATATTTTGCGGCAGGCTTCGCTCGCTGTGTGTCCCATACAAAATTCGCAAAGAAGTCAGTGGCGTACATGGGTAGAAACTTATGGCATTTTCCAGGCTCCAAAAGGCCTGCAGGAGGTGAGACTCGGAAATATGAAGGGATGTTACCATTCCTGTATATGGTTAAAAAATTTCCCCTCCAGGTTAATGCGCAGCCGTTTGTCAGGACTTTGAAGAAATCCGCCAGGACTTTCGTTGCGACCTAATATTCTTCCTTATCGTGGAGTGATGCGTAACAAAAAATTCCCTGAATTCTTTTCGAAAAACTTGATCAGGTCACCCCTACTAGTTCGATTTGATTAACATTTTATTTTAACCTATATAATTCAGGACGCCATTTATGCATGGAGTGAGATTTGCAAACAGCCAATGATCGCAGTTTCTCTCACCGGAATGTTGATCAGGTAGCTGCTTCATTGAAAATTGACAGACGTCAGGAACTATCGCAGTAAGGCACCTAGTGATTGCCAAAGGCAGCCCATAACACACCAAAAGGAAGCTCCAATTTTTGTCCATGGCACCCAGTCTCAGCAGATATCTTAGGGCTGCAATACATAACCGGTACGGAGCTTCAAGCTAAAGGGATGCTCTGAGACTAGGCACTTGGAAACACTGGGTGGTTGGGCTCGAGCTCTTTGCGAAGTTTACCGTTTGTACGGCTGGAATGACAGCGAAGAAGGCACTTGTTTGCTAGCGCTCGGCTATTGCTTCCGATTAGTGGTCATAAGTGGTAGTCCAATTGCCTCTCACGCAAAGACCGTATATATGTTTCTCCCCCCTTTTCCTGCGGCGCCCCCTTTCGTGTATTTCAGCTTCTCTGTGGGCGCTGTGTCTCGCCGTCTTATCGCGAATGATGTCACACAAAGAAGCCCTTAATTTCAGTACTCTCGAGGTTCTTTGCCTTTATCATGGGGCGTCCTTTGAATTATCAAGTGCGATCCTCTTTCCAAAGCCAAACACTTGCGCAACGATAGCCCGACTTGCTTAGAGCGTATGAGCAGACTCGTGAAAGTATTATGACAATTTATCCTCCGCTTGCGGCATTCACTTCGTAGGTGATAATAGAACGTGCAGAAAGCTCGCGATGCCACAGCGCTTCGTTCTCCAGCCCCTATTACAGCACAATAATGTTGCTCATTAGCTGGCATCCGTCGTTCTAGGTGTTACGGTGTGAATTCAAGAGAGCAACAAATGTTCCTCTTTACTTGAACTTTTAAAGACTTTGAGAAAACCAATAGGTTTTATTTTGATTTTCGAAGGACATCGCAGGGGAAAAAGAGAAAAAAGGAGGAAGAATAACCAGAAACCCTTTATTTAGCTTCTCTTTATCCAAACGCCGAATGAATGCGGGTTCGGCTGAAAACTGCACTGCAATGCCGCGTGCGCGACACCTTTCGCTTCTTCCCAGCGTGGGTTTCCTAACTCACAAACTAGCATCACCTCCACCTACGACGGTAATAATCCACCGTTTTATTACCGAACACATATGTATTATTAGGTTGTCCGGGAATTAATGCGGGTTTTTGACCTCCGTCTTCAAAGCAACATATCTCAGCTCAAACTCAACATTTTCAGTAATTCAAAAAAGTGTTGGAAACTACGCATCTTTCTTAACAAGAAGCATGCTGAACAAATGCACGAACTCTGATATAGGAACCGTAGAAGCGCGGATATCGGCGAAGGTCATTCCCAACGTGTCTGTTTCAAATCTTTTTTCTGCCCAAGAAGCTGTCGAGATGGCTGAAAAACTGGAGGTTGGTGAGGGTGAGATCCTATGAATGCACTGTGAAAAGCAAAGCTGGATAGGTTGATTTATCCTTTTCTTACGAGATCGCTTTGTGCGACATGTGGCTGGGCGTCAACATGGAGAACGTTCTCCTGGTTAGAGGCCTTGCTCTTTACGGAGCATTATATCGATGTTATGGACAGACATTGGTGCTCTACCAAAATCACCTGGGTTCAGAAAGCTGCGATGCATCATTACTCCGGAAGGCCACGAAACCATCAGCATGGTCCTCACCTTGTAGAAATTCTACTTTGGAAAAAGTTTTTGATGTTCGTAGCTGTTTAGATTTTTGGAAAATTGCTCTATTCTATAGCAAAGGGTCCTATTTCCGTCGAGGATGACGAAATTTTCGGATATTTTTGTTGAGTAAAAAAAGTTGTGACAAGATCCCTGAAAGGTGACTTTGCTGCTGCTCAGTCAGCTCATGCGTGCAGCTCTTCTTACCTTCCCAAGTACCTTCAGGCGCTCCGAAAATTTCAGTATGCTTGCTCAAGGTTATGCTGCTGGCCACACTTGTTTGGAATCTTCTTCTGCCGGGTCTTCAGAAGGCTGCCGTCAAGAGGAGAATGTCGTCCGTAACCCCCCTCACTTCGAATCTAGATTTCCCTACACTTGAAAGCTTCGGAGCCATTGAAGCAGTGTGCATTTATTGCAACATCCTTAGCCCCACACAGCAATCCTATTCCGAGCTGTCTGCACAGCACCCTCTCCAAATTTCAACTCATAGAAGTGAACCTGCTCAAACCACTACTTTGACGCCTTCATTCAAACCTTTAAAAAAGTGAGGCCCGAGTCCCATCAAAATACAACAGCAGTGTAAGAAAGAGAATGAAATGGGCTTTCCAACGATGTGCAACAGTACAGCAATCGAAAGAAAATTTCTCGGAAAAATGTCTAATAAAGTATGGTACATCGGAAACCCGCACTAATTTCCGGACAACCTAATAGAAGCAGTCTGACCGCAGCTGGCGAGACAACGCGGAAGGTGGTCAGACCGCTTTCGAGTAATTCAGCGCGAATACCTGTGATAACATTTTTTCATTTTTGTGGATATGTATTGTAATATGTATTTATTTTTGTACTATAGTTATATTATTTATTTTTATATTTTTAATATTTTTAATATTTTCAACATTTTTGATATTTTCTCTTTTTTCTTTTTGTTTTTAATATTTTCTTCTTTTTTCTTCTTTTTATTTTTCTTTTTTATATTTTCAGTATTTGCTCATGTTCCAATATTGTGAATATACATAGATTCGAACACAACACTGAGGCATGATATATGGACGTGAGTTTGCACTAGATGGAAAAATACCTGGAATGATAGTATTCTGGTGCAAACTGCTAGCTAGACTGGTGTGCAACACTTAAAGGAATCCTTCGCGGAAAATTCTTGCATTCTTTCCTAACATGAATGTGTCAGTTGTGATCACTGGAAACAGCACACAAAGTTTCACGCATGAAGATTCGGTTTCCGAAGAGAAACAAACGTACAAAAACTACACGTTATGGACATCGAAGGTAATTCGGGCGGAGCCAAACGAGGCATGGAAAGAAGTTGGCCTTTGCCGGCTACGGCGACGCAATGACGGAATCGGGTAAAGCGCGCGATTTTGGAGAATAGAGACAAATCGATCGATAGAATAGGATGGAGTAGAAGTGTAAGATGTGAATGCAATAAAGCAGAAGGCCAGAAAGAGTTTCTAGTGAAGGCACTCCAAGAACCAAGTGGAAGCATCCCCGTCGCCAGCATTTGTGAAAGACGTCCGTGGGCACTTTGAACGCGTAGCAGCCCTTTCGATTTTTCGAATTTTTTACCAAAACAAAGCAATATTTCTGTTCTTTTCATTCTTATCGTGGATAATGAGTCTCAAGCCAGTGATTTATGGCTGAAATAGAATCATGATTTTTCCGCGAAGGATTCCTTTAAGGACAAGACAGATGAAGTATCGCAACCTTCTGATAGCTTTGTGGACCGTTTAACACCGACCTGTTACTGCTTTCTTTAGTGCCCTGTGGCAGCTCTTTGTGTGTGGTTAGGTTCCATAGAGTCATGTTACGCGGTCGTTGGAAAAGCTACGTTCGTCGCTAAGTTTTGCACGCCAGTGTACAAGGTGGTCGCGGCGACTGCGCCAGAGCAGGAACAAATATAGTGCAACAAGTGTGAACTAGGCGACAGGGTCAACCGTCCGTTCGCACTATTCGAACGAGGGGGTCGCATTTTGGTCATGGGCCGAGGGAGGGGGTCGCAATTTCAAGGACCCGCAACCGAAATCGCGACGGTAGTTGATCGGTGGATGAAGGACTGGGGAGGAACGCTCACAAAGAACATGAAGTTGTCATAAACTCATAATTATTCTTTAACACGTTGACGACAGCGCAGGACACATACGTCCCGCACTTTGCAGGCCACGTCGGACAGCGCGGGACGTATGTGTCCTGCACCCATCTAATTCAGTTTTTTCGCGCACCACTAACTTTTTTCTGGCTCTTTTGTATTCAAATAATAGATCCTACTCTATCATAACTATAAGCGACGTAGTCCGCAGAAAGGTTAGGTATGCCCAAATTTTGCAAGGATTTTTCGAATCCGGCGAAGTCTTTAGTTTCCTGTCATTATTCGACTTCTTT